GGTTGTTAGTGCTTTTAAACGAGGTCGAGATACTGGGTCTGTCCCATAGATATTGGAACGAATCCGGACTTAGACCTTACATTAGAAAGTTTAGTTTTTAATAACCATCTCAAGAGTATTTTTTTTCTTTAAAAACTCTTACTATTTTCATTATCTTTAATATTTTCGATGAAATGGTCTAACAAACCAACTTGGACACCTTTATCAAAAATAGATTTAAAGCTAACGAAAAGGTTAAGGCTTATAAAAAAAGATAACGGAATTTTTTCAGGATTTGAAATCCCTATTTTTATGAGCTGAAATCGGGATCAGAACTGCGCGCTAAATTTTTGATCAACCCAAATATATTATTTAATCTTTAAGTTCCCGTCAAAACCTAATTTTTTTTGTTACCGCTGTAGGAGATTTTGAACCCGAACCTGACCAAATTTTATTTATAGGCCCGAGCTCGACTTACAGGACTCTAAGGGTTAGTTTTTAGTATACTTAGAAATCGTGATTTTATTTAGTTATTACTAGCACCATAAAGGTTGCTTCAAAAATTCAAAAGTAACGCGTTACCGTTACTTGTCTTGTGAAAAAAAGGAACTTAAGAAAATATTCTATATAAAAATTTTTACCCCCCCCCCCCCCCCTTCATTATAGATAAAAAAAATAAAAAAAAATACGAAATTAACGTATTATAAGATAAGTTCGATAACGAATTTTTATTATTTCTTTCTTTTTCTTTAATATATAATTAACTGATAAAAATAAAATTAAAATAATCTTACAAATAAAAATAAATATAATAAAAAGCCAAACAATAATAATCTAATAAATATTTATTTATTCGCGATAATATAAAAACTAGCGATCTGCATCGGGCCTAATTTTCCAAACCGGGCCCGGCCCGAATTTCTTTTTATAATGTTTTACCCGACCCGGCCCGAACCCGAAATTTTTTTCAAAAAATTTTGCCGGCCCGGCCCGAATTGATTTAAATATAGAAATTAATTCTCATAATTACTCAAAATAAACGATACGTTATACGGCGTCTACTTTCTGTAAATAAAATCGCATATTTTTATTTTACATAAAAAATTCAACATTAAAATTGATCATATTTAGCAGAGTTGTTAAAAGATACTTTTTAAATGGATCTAGATACAGATACATCGTCTAAAATAATATCTAGATACAGATTATTTAATCAAAAATCTATCTAGATACAGATACAGATACCACATTTTTATATCTAGATCCTTTAACAACTCTGATATTTAGATATATTTTTAAAAAAATTTAAGGCCCGACCCGTCCCGGCCCGAATTTTCTTTTGCAGATCTCTAATAAAAACCATTAGAAATATACAATTAAAACTTCAACAGAAATTAATAAATACATAACTTAATTAATATATAAAAATAACGCTAATTACAATAAAATTAAAATGCAAGTTGTAATAATCAATTCTAAGCTAACAAAATCACAGTTACCTTTTAAAACAAGTAATAACGTTCATCTTCCTCAAATTCGTTACTTTTTTTTACAGCACTAGTTATTACTGAAATACCAAAAAAATGATTAATTTTTTTGATAAAATTCGATATATTATTATTTTTCCCTATAAAATTATTCCGCTGTATGAAACATATAATATTCGCAATTTATTTGACAAGAGAGATTTTAATGATGGAATGAATATTAGGAAAACCGCCTGATGAGCCAACAATTTGCTTATTTCTTTCTTTCTTTTATTTTTTCTTTATTTCACTATATTTTTTCATTTATTTTTTAATTATTTCATAATTTTTTTTTTTTTAAATTAGCTACCTAGAAACAACACGTCAAAATATGTCACCTTCTAATAAACCCGTATTTCGTCTCCTTTCTAAATACCGCCTACCTTCCAAATCTCATCGCGGCCCCCACGCTCTCTTGGCTGCAGCGTGTTTCCGCGCTATCGGTATAAGGTCCCCGCGCACAATCCACTACGCCGTCTTTTATTTCGGCGTAGCCTTCGGACTTATAACGTTGGCCGCTACGACCATGTACTTGGTTTATAGGTTGAGGAAAAATAAGGGAATTTAAAATACATTTCTGGTATTGGACACTCCTACGGGAGAGATAAAGGGAAATGATGCATATTTTATTTTATAAAAAACACCTGTTTATGACATATCGGTACAGAACATGTAAACACGTATCTATTTTAACTTTGTAAATTTAATGTACTCTTAACCCCCCTCCCCTCTCCTTTAACCTTTAGTAGTTATTGACAATTTTTAAATTTTTTTCCCGAGCACCCAATAAATTATAATAAATTACATTTACTATTCTCCTAGTTTTAATGTTTTTTTTGACAATCTATTAATTAAATGTATCCCGATACTAACTAATTATCTATACCCCAATAAATTATTACAACTACTTATTACAAATCATGCGTTTTTACCTCATTATTTATAATTTTAATTTTTTTATAAAGTATCGCAAATCGTAATTCATTTTAATATTAGAACGAAATGTTTAATAAATTCAATTCTTCTTTTTTTAAATTATATTTTCCAAAATCCTATTTTGATCTTTAACTCCGATTCCGGAAAAATGATTTCCCCCCCCCCCCTCTTCATAATTTTAAAAAACATTTATTTAGTCAATTTTAAAAAATGAACGTTTTTTTATGATTTGTAGAATTATGCTATTGTAATAACAAATTTTTTTTTAAATTAGGTCCAAAATTTATGATATACCCCCTCTTCATAATTTTAAAAAACATTTATTTAGTCAATTTTAGAAAATGAACGTTTTTTTATGATTTGTAGAATTATGCTATTGTAATAACAAATTTTTTTTTTTTAAATTAGGTCCAAAATTTATGATATAAATTAAATTTATTGACATATATATATATATACGAATGTAGTAAAAACGGCTAAAGAATAAATGTTAATTTTGCGAAAGAAAACCTTCAACCTGGCTTTGATATTGGTGTCGTTAAACTTTAAAGCAAGGATTACTTTAGCCTCGAGGTTTCGGGAATAGCTGTCCAAAGACTAATGAGCAAAATGCTCCAGGCATTGCGTTAATATTTTTTGGCTAAAATATTAGGTTAGTCGTTTTTTTAAAAAAAACCAAGCTGTTTGACCACCGCTACCCGATATAAATGAAGTCTCTAGCAGCCTAGCAAATTTAAACCTTTTCAATAGTGTTGTTAAACGGCTCGTTCTAACTCGATTTTCATCCAGAATAATATTACGCAAGCTTGAAAATTTTGCTTGTAGAAGGAACAAAGGTTTGAAGGACATCTATCAGCGAATTCTCTTGGCTTAAGCAACATATTTTTCTGGCCAAAATATTGAGTTAGCCGTTTTTAAAAATTGGCTCAAAACGGGTCGTTTAACAACATCAATTTTAAATATATTATTTCCCCCGACTTATAATGATGACACTTATTGACGTCGGGAAAGCAAGATTGTAGTGAGATCAATGACGTGTAATAATATCTAGACTGACGACGCATTCATAATAATGCACTTGGAAGCGTCGTTGAAGGCAAATCAGCTGGAGCTGCCGTTTTGGTAATCCATACAGTAATGATTCTCATGTTAAAAGACTACTATTAAATTTATAACTTGCTTCCTTTAATTATTATCGATGATAAGGGCAGTTCTTTAAATAAAGTTTGCGTCAGAACATAGGAAATTAATTGGCCTCTCGTTTAAAAATTTTTAAATAATGATACGGGTAATCAAAATGGCGTCCCCAGCTGTTTATCATTGATGTACACTTTTAGTGATGGATCGTCAGTCTAGGTATTGTTATATTGATACGTTATTATTTACGAAATGTAAATCAACTTTTAACGCTAAATTAAAAAAAATGTTGATTGAGAAACGTAAATATTAGTGAACGTCACAAATTTTCGATTGGTCAGCATTGCTCATTTAATATGATTTACATTTTTTTATTAAACTAATAACATTTCTAATATATATTTTAAAATTATTTTATCGGTTATTATTAAGGGATAAAATTAAATTTTGATCGATAAATATTTATTGATGAAATTTATTTAATTTGATTTTTGGAAGATCAACTCTGCCATAGAATAATCATTTTGTTTTACGATTTATAAATTAAATGACACGTGACCTGTCGCGCCATAATCTCTTTTTTTCTAATAAATGTGGACGAAATTTTTTTGAACTTGGTTTTGTTTAAGCATTTATAAAGCTAAATTTTTTACAAATTTAATTATTTTTATTTTAGAGTATTAAAAAAAAACTGATTAATTTTAAAAATTACGATTTTAATCAATTTTTAAACTCGATTAATTCGTAAAAATCACGATTTTTTAAACTCGATTAATTAGTAAAAATCACGATTTTAATCAATTTTTAAACTCTATTAATTCGTAAAAATCACGATTTTAATCGATTTTTAAACTCGAAAAATTACGATTTTAATCAATTTTTAACACATCTATAAACAGATAAGTGTAATTGCTGTTTATCCATACAAACGTGGCAATTCTTAATGAAAATTTAAAAAATATGAAATAATTCAGGCTTAATATTAATAGGAGTTTGGTTTAGAAAATTGCTCATTTCTGAGAGAAGTGAATTTTTGTTCTGGCACACATATTATCTCTTAATATTATTACAGCACTTAACTATGATAGGGTTATTATTAATAATGCTCAACCAATAAAACACGAGATGAATGTCTATTTTCGTGATTAATTAGCAAAAAAATGTCTCCATATTGAATTCCAGCTGATTTACCTAGTTCTTGGTAGTGTCTTTAACAATTATTAAGAATGGAAAGTTTTGAAACCTTACAAATAAATAAAGCAATTAATATAATTTACAAATTAATATTTCTTTGACTCAATTAAATAAAGTTTTTTATGATTATTTTTGTTGCCTTTGAAATCAAAATATAAAATACATGGCTAAGTAAGCAATTATATATATATATTATAATAGTAAATAATTTCATGAATATATATCAATTCAATGTTTATAAGGGTCAAGTCCATATTTCCTAAGCGTTTTCATATGTTCTTCGTGAGGATCTGTGGGATAATAATAATCCCTTATTTTGTATCCTATGACTGTTACGACAAATGCAGAAACCCCCCAGCTAAGACCATAAAATAGAAAAGATCTTACACGGCTCCAGTAAGTTCCAGCTATCTTGGGGTTATACATAAACACATAATTCCTTAATTGGTGATGATAAATTTTTTATAACAATAATAGGTTTAAATTAATAAATGTGAGATTAAATATTTGTCTAATAAAAGTTTAAAATCAGAGATGTATCCCATAAAGTCAATATTGATGTTGGCTGACATTTTAAATTTTTACCGATACCAAGGTCTTATAATAAAATGATATAATTGTCATATTAAAAAAAAAATTATACAACCTTAAGCTTGAGTTTATATAAAAAAAAATCATATAAAAATTTCCAAACTAATGGAAGAAAACCTTTTAATTTAATTTTATGAATATTGTAAATAATTTTATTTTATATTACAATTTGTATTTTTATGTTTGAAAAGATGTGTAACAGTTTTATTCATTAAATATATTATGTTTGAATAAGATTATGCATTTATATATTTAATTTATATTATATATAACATTTTATTTTATTTATGAAATTGAGTAGTAATATGAAGTTAATATAATTTGCTATTTTAATATAGTATTTAAAATAATTAAGACAAATTTATTAAGATTGATATATTATAATTTCATGATAGTTTCATATAAATAAAGATATTTCTCAATTAATCATATAAATATGAATTTGATTGTCTGTCAAAAAGGATAAGAGACATGACATAATTTGAAAAAGGTTCATTCAATATTCATATTAAAATTTGACATGCTTATTTTTAATATATAGTTGTTTTCTTCATTTTGTCTTATAATTTTTTTTTTCCATTTATGGAGATTTATTGACCAAAAATATGTAAAGATAGTTTATTTTGACAATGTTTAGGGTCTTATTCTAAAATAAGTAGTATCCCTCTTTGAGATAGCTGTGACTCATTTCCCTAAATTTATAATAAGGTCAGGGCATAAGATTCAAATGATGCTAATGCCCTTACAAATTATTGGCAAGAATGTAAGCTAGTAGGTAAAAATGAAAAATGAACTTTACTACTTGGTTCAATAAATGTATATTATACTAACATGGTATAAGTACAATGTTATGTCAGTATCAGTGGTATAACATTGGCTAAGAAGGTGGTATACATGCATCTCTAATTCAAATTAAACTATATATTAAGATTCAAGATGAATAACTTAATTTATTATAAATGATAAATACACCAATATTATATATAACTAAAACTATTTATAAAAAGAAACAAAGTGTCTATCTTTATACAATATAAAATAAAACTTATATAGGAATACTGAGCATATTATAAAAAGCAAAAAATCACAAATAACAAACCTAACCCATGGATCTTTCAATCCTAATTCACTCAAACTTTTCTGTACTTTGACTAATTCAGGAGCATCTTCAAGTTTGTAAGTTTTATAATCAGGAATTGCTTCTAAAGGTTGCTTTAAAGGATCATGATGATGTGAATCCGAGTGGGATAAATTTTCAGAACTTTTTCCCATATGATATTAGAGAAAGGTGGGACTAACCTATAAAGGTTTAAATTTCGTTTTTAAAAATTGCACGAAATATTTTATCTATTTAAAAATTAATATGGATATGATTAAGACATAAAAATAAGTAACAAAACTCAATCTATAAAACAAGGATAATTATTTATATTATTTGAATTTTTTATTTTAGAAATAAAATTTTATGGTTCTGATTTGCCCATATTTTTTAAAAAATTTAAAGTTCTGCTTGAAAAATGTTCAAGAAAGGAGATAACGATTGGTATAGAAGCAAAATTTTTTAATTTTGAATATTTTTTTATTTACATTTTTTGAAAAGACGAGACGCATGTAAAGTCAAATTATGGATTAGTTTAAAAAGCAATGCACCTAAGTTAAACTAACTGGCCACAGGCCTTCGTCTGATAATAAATTAGCAGGCTCTAGTTAAATAAAGAGTACAGCTGCGATTAATATACACTTAAGACCATATCTCCCTTTGGAATCAACGATTGGGTGACAATGTGAGGGAAAAAAACAAAAAAAAATAACTACTTACAAATTCCACTCTTTATAAAATCCGTGAAAACTTTTTCTTATGATTGTCAACTACTTGTTGTAATCGTTGGACAATTAAGTTTGATGTGTTATGTTATCGCAAAGTTGATTTTTATAGTATTTTTGTTAGTTAAAAACCTTTAATTTGTTATTGCTTGTATCATATCAATTTGCATGTAGAGTCGTTTCTTTATTAAGTTATTAGCATTTTAAATTATTGTTGTTATCATTAATTTTAATTTATTTAACTTTGTAGTGATTGCTACCGAACTTAGGGATGGATATCTATGAATCATCAAACCGGATCATGGTGTTTTTCATGATGGAGTAAATTTCTTGAATGATGGCTGGTCTTATGGATTTTATATATTTATTATTATGATAATATTTTCGGAATATATATGATTAATATTATTTGTACAAATGGTTTATCTGATTGTAATAAAGAATTTTATGAATCCTAGTGATATATATACGTGATACAGGTTGGCGACGAAAATGGGGATCTGAAAATGGGAAAACAAACTTATTAAAATTATGAATGATTGTCTGAGAAATTGAATGGTATATGCATAGTTTATTTGTTTGGTGATAAATAATGATTTCATGTTGATTAGTGCGTTTAAATATAAGTGCATGCTTTTGAAATCTTAAATAACGTAAAGGAGATTACAAAAAAAAATTATGGACGTTGTCTTCGAAAATATCATCCAATAAAATTTTTATATTTCAATACTTCAATATCTAATCAAAGAATTGTTTTCGATTTTGAATTATATATTTTTTTTTAAAAACTATTTTTCATAATTATGTTTTAATTTACTTTTTTTTGTATTTGGATTTCATTGAAATAGATATCAAAAAAGAAATCTTTGATTTTCCGTTCGCCACCATATTGGAAGGGTACTCGGCAGATTTAACGTTAATTTAATTGTGCACTTTCAATAATTAATTTTTGGTATTGCAATCATATTTTATAATATTTCACGTTATTATACTTTATATTATCTTACATTTTATTTCATTTTCCTTTTACGAACCCTTATCTTGAGATTTTTAAAAATAGTTTATCCTACTTTGTGTTGTTGAAAAAACCCGATTTGGGCCGATTTTTAAAAACCGGTCCGATTAAGATTTTAGCCAATATTTTATTGTGCAAGCCTCAAGATTTGGCAAGTAGAAACCGTAACCTTTCTGTCACCCATATGAGCAAAATCACCAACTATTTTGGTTATGATCAACCGGGCCGGTTTTTAAAAATCTGCCTTATCGGGTTTTTTCAACAACAATAATTCTAATAATATGAGATAAAAAATAAATATTTATATTTAATAACATTTATTCAAATGAAAAAAAATAAATTCTCTTTTTTTTTAAAATAAATTTTGAATAAATATTTTTTTGTTCTCAAAAATAAAAATATTAGAATTTTTAAAAAACTAAAAAAAAGGTTATTCAATTTATAAACCATATGACTTACAGTTTTAAAATTTATTATAATCCCAATATTTGAACTAATTTTTAAAAGGGTGTAAATTCAGTAGACCAGAAATAAAGAAAAATTGTATCGTAATTGGTGGAATAAAACATTTTAATAAGCGCATGCGCGAAGGAGCGAACAAACAAACGAATATATATAATTTATCGAACTAAATTCAGTATAAAACGCGAAATCTAATTTCTTATATTTTCTTCAATGTTTAAACCCTCATAAATTTTACATATTAATTTGAGCGTATATATATATATTGATTATGATTATTAAAGAACTATGTTAATCAATAATATTGGAATTTAATTTAATAATATAACTAGTGTTGTTAAACAGCTGGTTTTGAGCCGATTTTTAGAAACATCCAGAAAAATACTACGTAACCCTGAAGATTTTGCTCATAGAAGGAACAAAGGTCTAGACATAATAAACGAAATCTCATGGCTTAGGCAAAATTTTTTTGGCTAAAATATTGAGTTAGACATGTTGTAGTTTTAATATTTTTGTTATACATTTATATATATATAATGATATATATGAAATGTCAATCTAAAGTGATCTTTTGAATTTGAGTTTTTGTTTTTTTAGAGGATGAATAGAAAATGAAGATCAGATGTTCTTTTGTTGATGGATTTTTGGATGTTGTTTGTAATTTTTTTAAATTATGATTGTATAAATATGAACCAATGAGACTGATTTTGGAATCCGTAGATTTTAATATTATTCTAAATCAGTTTATTATTATTGTTTCATATTTATACAATCATAATTTTAAAAAAATGTACAACATATTCATTATACATATACATACAACATCTGATCTTCTTTTTTTCATTCATCTTCTAACAAAAACCAAACTCAACTTCAAAAGATCACTTTTGATTGACATTTCATATATATAATTATATTCATTATATATATCAGAGATCTGCAGAGGCACCATTTGCACGGCCCAGCCCGGACCGGTTTTAAATTTTTTAGGCCCGGCCCGGACCGGTTTTAAATTTTTTAGGCCCGGCCCGGACCGGTTTTAAAGATTTAAGGCCCGGCCCGGCTCGGATATTTTTTTAAAAATTTTTTTACGGCCCGGCCCGGCCCGGATTTAAAGATTTAAGGCCCGACCCGGCCCGGATAAATTAAAAAAATTTTTTACGGCCCCCTCGGAATTTTTTTAAAATTATATTCGACCTGGTATATTCAAAAATTCACCCATGATGTATTTTACCATATTTTTCAGCGAGTATTATCGCTTATTATTTAAAAAATACATGAAAAAAGCGAATATTTTGAGAATATTATATTGAATTTATAAAAATTATAAAACTGTTATTTATAAAAATGGATATTTTGAGCATATACTATATTTTTTGTATTTATAAAAATAAAACTAATATTCATAAAAATGGTAATAATATTTTGAGCATATACTATATTTTATATTGCATTTAAAAAAAATAAAACAAAAAAAAAAATTATTTGCACTAATTATATTCCCATTATTATACCTTGTATTATGAAGTCGTTGGTTGTTAAATTTCTTAAAATTTCTAGAATTGTTAAATTATATATTTTTCTTAAATTCCGTTTTTTTAAAAAAATTGTATGCTATATTTTTTTTTCTCACTGTTATGATGAAATCAGAATATTTTTTTATAAAAATTATACTGATCCATATATTTATTTGTTGATAAATAAAATATTAAGTTTTAATATTATATATTTTTTTTTATTACACTAGTTTAATTTATTAATTATTAATATATAATATTTATTTAAATTATGAGAAAAAATGAATTTTGCATTCAAAATGGAAAATATTTTGTGAATATAATATATTGTATTTAATTTACTATTTAATTTATAAAATAAAAATAAATCGCTATTTAAAAAAATGCATGTATAATAAATAGTATTTTGAAAATATAATCTAATTGCACAATATTAATATAATTTATTTTATAATTTTTAAATATTTTATATTACATTTATAGGTTGGTTTTTCAGGTGTAAAATTTTTTTATTAATTTTCATGGATTTACCATCACATTTATGTCTTTTTAGATGTGATGTACCATGTTTATAATTATAAGATAATATACTTGAACAATTCTTACATTGTACATAGCCAATGTTTTTTTTTATTTTCATCCATGATGATGTTAAATTTAGCCCATATTTCAGATTTTAAATTATTATTTGTATTTCTAAAAGAATAAATATTATTTTTAATTTTATTAATTATATCATTAGTATTTTGTGCCATAATATTCCTTTATTTGATTGTTTTGGTAAATATTCAAAAAAATTTAGATATGAATTATAAAAAATATATATTATTAATACTTAATACTTGAATATTGGGGCTTATTTAAGATATTCCTTTATTTGATTGTTTTGGTAAAATATGTTATAAAAATTTAGATATGAATTATAAAAAAATATATTAATACTTTTGTATAAATTTGCAGGAAATTAATAATTAGATCGATCTGTGGGTGTTAGGTAATGTTAACCATCACCCAATATTATATTAATCATAACTATAATATAATATAATCTTATAACTATTAACTCATAATGTAAAAATTTTTATAAAAAATATTAAGGCCCGGCCCGGCCCGGGTTTAACAATCTTAGACCCGACCCGACCCGGCCCGACCCGACCCGGATATATTTAAAAAAAATTCTTTAGGCCCGGCCCGGATAAAACTTTTTTAGGCCCGGCCCGGCCCGGCCCGGCCCGGGTATATTTAAAAAATTTAGCCGGGCCGGGCTTAGGAGCCGGGCCTGCAGGTCTCTGATATATATATAAATATATAACAAAAATACAAAACTACAAGATATTTTTTAAAAATTGGATTAAAATGAGCCGTTTTTGTGTATTTTTTTCTGCTTCATAAATTTAAAGGGTAAAAATTTTACAACCTTAAATGTTCTTCTTTGTATTATTTTTTAAATATAT